TGCCATTGAGTCAATTCTGACTCATAATGACCCCATGTGCTACAGGATGGAACTGCTGCATAGGATTTCCTCTTTCTTTGCTGTAATCTTTATGGTAGCAGATCACCAAGGCTTTCTTTCAAATTTCCACTGGATGGGTTGGAATCACCAACCATGAGGTTACTGTTGTTCTTGTTGTATGCCATCGAGTCAGCTCCGACTCATAGCGACCACTCCTTGGGTTGCCAAGGCAGTATCACTACAGAAGTAGCTTGTCCAACCTTCCTTCTGAGGAGTGGCTGGTGGGTTTGAACCATCAGCCTTCTGGTTAGCAGTCAAGTGCCTTAAGCACTATGCTACCAGAGCTCCTATGAGGTTACTAGGTGAACACAAAGCACTTGTGCCACCTGTACTATCTTTCTTCACTCCTCTAATTAGACACTCTACAGTATATATCTTAAATGTCTTCTTCTTCTCCTCAGCTTATATATATGCACAGTCTATCCTAGACTTTGCTGTAGCTTCAGGCTTCTTCCATCCTCCTCCTCCTCTCTTTGACTACAAATATTTAAAATTAATAAAAAAGTGACCCTATCCTTCCAGTTCATCTTGATCACCCTTGATCTGTCTCAATATTCCTCCTTTCTTAAAATTACATTTTCAAAGTATAAGAAAAACACCTCTTTTTGAAACATAATGGCTTTTCCTCAGTCTTCATTCTCATAAAACTTTCATAGCAAACAATAAAACTTATAAGCACCTCTCTTTATTAGAATGCTCATTTCTCTTCTTTTCCATAACTGAACTCAAAAGTCTCTCCTCTATTAATTTGTGTCATTATCTTTGAAAAACTCTTTAAATGTTCTAAGCCTCAACTTACTCACTGGTAAAATTAAAGTAATAAAAATTCCTTCCTTAATAAGTTGTCATAAGATCACAATCCAGATTATTAACTACTACCATATAAGAAGGAAGGCTCAATAGGCAAGTTTGTATACATATGTTGTTGTTGTTGTTATGTGCCGTTGAGTCAGATCCGACTCATAGTGACCCCTCCTTGGGTTTCTGAGGCAGTATCACTACAGAAGTACATTGCCCAACCTTCCTTCCCAGGAGTGGCTGGTGGGTTTGAACCACCAGCCTTCTGGTTAGCAGTCAAGTGCCTTAGGCACTATGCTACCAGAGTTCCTGTATATATAAACACTATTTTATAAGAGATTATATATGTATCTATACATACATATATGTATTTTATACATATAAATGCATTATATAATATATATATAAACATATAAAACCAAAAACACCAAACTCACTGCCCTCAAATTGATTCCAACTCATGATATCACGTTTGGTTTTCTGAGGTGGTAGATCTTTATGGAAGTAGATTGCCCCATCTTCCTTCCATGGAGCAACTGGTAGGTTTGAACCACCAACCTTCTCATTAGGAGTCAAATGCCTTAGGTACTGTGCCACCAGAGTTCCTTTATATAAACATATAGTATATTCATATCTATATGTTTATATAAAGGAGCTCTGGTGATGTGGTTAAGGCATTTGGCTGTTAACCAAAAAGTCACTGGTTTGAACTCACTCACCAGTCTTTAAAAGAAAGATGAGGTCATCTGATTCTGTAAAGATTTATAGACTTAGAAACCCAATGGGGGTCACTATCAGTTGGAATTGACTTGATGGCAGTGAGGTTTTTTTTAGTTAGTTTGTTTTTTGTGGAGGGTTATGTACATGAAGAAGAACATGGTGTCTATTACAGAAACACTAGTTAACAACCAGTGATATGCAGATGACACAACCTTGCTTGCTGAAAGTGAAGAGAACTTGAAGCATTTGCTGATGAAGATCAAAGACTATAGCCTTCAGTATGAACTGCAACAAAAATCTTCAGAACTGGACCAATATACACCATCTTGTTAAATAGGAAAATATTATAGTCAAAGATTTCATTTTACTTAGATCCACAAGCAACATCCATGGAAGTAGCAGTTAAGAAGTCAAACGCTTCATGCCTTGAACTCAACACACTCCCATGGCTTAACTTGTAGCCAAAAGATAGGAGTCCTAGAAAGTGAACAATAACACCAGACAGAGACTCATTAGGACAATCAACCATATGAGATCAAGAGAGCAACATTTGCCCAGAGATGAAGCTCAGAAAACAGAAAGGAATAGGAAAGAAGGTATGAAAATGGTAAACATCAGGAGGAAGTAAGAAGACTGCTGCTACATTTTGGGGATTGCAAACAATGTCAAGAAACAAAATATGTATGAATTGTTGAATGGAAAACGAGTTTGCTCTGTGAACTTTTCCCCAAATCACAAAGAAAGAAAGAAGGAGGTGGAAAAGCAGGATGGAGGGGAGAGAGGGAGAAAGGAAGGAAAGAAGGGAGGAAGGAAGAAAGAATAACATTGGGCAAATTTTCTGCAAAAGGCCTCTTTAAAGTGTTAAGAAACAAAGATGTTACTTTGAGGACTAAGATGTGCCTGACTCAAACCATGATATTTTCAAATGTCTCACATGCATGTGAAAACTAGACAATAAATAAGAAAGATTGAAGAAGAATTGATACATTTCAATTATGGTGTTGCTGAAGAATTTTGAACGTACTGTGGACTGTGAGAAGAACAAACAAATCGTCTTGGAAGAAGTACAGCCAGAATGCTCCTTGGAAACAAGAATGGTGAGACTTTGTCTCACATACTTTGGACATGTTATCAGGAGGGACCCATCCCTGGAGAAGGACATCATGCTTGGTAAAACAGAGGGTCAGTGAAAAAGCAGAAGACACTCCATGAAATGAATCGACACAATGCCTGCAACAATGGATTCAAATGTGGCAAAAAATTCTTAGGATGGTGCAGGACCACTTAGTGTTCATTCTGTTGTGCATAGGGTCACTATGAATTGGATCCAGCTCAATGACATCTAACAACAATTATGTATATATCAAATCTTCCCTAATACCCCAAAATCGCCCTGTGAAGTAAATACTATTTCCATTTTTGGGATGAAGTAACTGAGATATCCAGAGGTTAACCTGTATACTTGAAATCAAATAATTTATATTAAAAACAAGATTCCAAATGATATCCATTGGATTCCAGATACCCATTAGATTATGTTACCTTCTGAACAGATATAAGGGTCAAAGTTTTAGGGAATCACAAATGTTTGACTTATTATTAGCATAATATCCTATGTAGATGCTGTATTACAGAATGTACTAAATTAAACCTGCCAAGAAATGGACTGATAGAAAAATAACTTACTTCCTTCCACCAGGTTTCTTACCTACATTCTTCAGCTCAATAGGCAAGTGGCAGAAATTTGGATAATTGTGCTTCTGTTGAAAGTGCAGGCTACAATCTAATGCTAGCAAGCTATAGCAGAGACTTTTACCTCAACAATAACAATGATAACAATGACAATAGGTAGATCTCATGCACTTTGCTTTAGAATAGACTTTTACATAAATGACTCCAATTAAGTGACCTCTTTTGTAGCTAACAAGGAGCCGTGGTTACCCAGAAGTTAAGCACTCATCTGCTAACTGAAAGATTGGCAGTTCTAAGACACTCAATGGCTCACCTGGAGTTAGAAAACCAAAAGGGAAGAACATGCTTGGCATTTCTCAAGCTGAAAGAACTGAAGAAAAAAATTAAGCCTCGTTTTGGGACCTCTTGTGGCATAGTGCTAACCAGAAGGCTGGCAGTTCAAACCCACCAGCCACTCCTCAGAAGGAAGGTTGGGCAATCTACTTCCATAGTGATACCACCTCGGAAACCCAAGGAGGGGTCACTATGAGTGGGATATGACTTCACAGCAGTGTGTTGTATTGCGTTCCATTGCAAAGCAATATTGAAAGATTCTATGGGTAAAATATTGAATGATGCAGAAAACATCAAACGAAGATGGAAGGAATACACAGAGTCACTGTACCAAAAAGAACTGGTTGATGTTCATCCATTTCAGGAGGTGGTATGTGATCAAGAAACAATGATACTGAAGGAAGAAGTCGAGTCTGCACTGAAGGAATTGGTGAAAAACAAAGCTCCAGGAATTGATGGGATACCCATTGAGATATTTCAACAAATGGATGCTGCACTAGAGGCACTTATTTGCCTATGCCAAGAGATTTGGAAGACAGCTACCTGGCCAATTGACTGGAAGAGATCCATATTTGTACCCATTCCAAAGAAAGATGATCCCACAGAATGTGAAAATTATCAAACAGTATCATTAATATCACTTGCACATAAAATCTTACTGAAGATAATTCAAAAATGGTTGCAACAGTATATTAACAAAGAACTTCCAGAAATGCAAGCTGGATTCAGAAGAGGACGTGGAGCAAGGGATATCATTGTTAATGTTAGATGGATCTTGGCTCAAAACAGAGAATACCAGAAAGTTGTTTACTTGTGTTTTATTAACTATGCAAAAGCATTTGATTGTGTGGATCATAACAAATTATGGACAACATTGAGAGGAATGGGAATTTCAGAACACTTGATTGTACTCATGAGGAACCTGTACATGGATTCACTGCCTCAAAACTAAAATAATACATTTTCAGCAGCTAAAACATAAACCTAGGTATACTTTGTCTAATCTGGGCTTAATATCCTACATTTTTGTGTAATAAAGAAAATTTGAAATTGCTACTTATTTCAAAACTAGACCAAGCAGCCCACACTTAATCTCTTCTTTATGAAGTGTAGAATTGCAATTAACAATTGTCCATCTGTTGGACAGGCAGAAAAGTGCTTCTCACAAATTGGTCAGAAAAGAACTAGCCATTAACTGACAAGGACTGTGACAAAACCTCCCAGGGTGTGACATTGTGTGTTGAGAGTCTCTCAGGGACAACACTGAGCCTGGATGACCTCACAGGAAAGGTGGAGAACCCAGGCCTCGGCATATAAGCATGACCTCTTTCCTAAGACTTGGCTGGTCAGGCTCAGGTGACAGTCTGAGCAGCCTCTGCACCACAGTCACCTCCATCATGAAGATCACGGAGGGTCTCCTTCTGCTCTGTGCAGTGGCCCATTTCTGCAGCAGTGCAGGTGAGTGGGGGATGGCTAGAGAAACACACTTTTGCCTGTTTCCCCAAACATTTCCTCATGGGACCTAAGCACTTATGTGGTTATATGTTTTTAAAGTTTTGGCCTGAAGAAGCTTTTGTAGTATAGTGGTTAAGGAATTTGGCTGCTAATCAAAAGGTCAGTGGTTCAAACCCACCAACTACTCCATGAAAAAAAAGATGAGACAGTCTGCTTCTACAAAGATTTACAGCCTTGTAATCCCAATAGTGGTGACTATGAGTCAGAATAAACTCAACAGCAGTGAGTTGGGTTTGGTTTTTGGTTTTGGCCTGGGAAGTGAGAATCTTTGGTCCCAGCTAGAATTTGGGGCACTTAAGGGAATGTCTTCCCCTTTAAATTCTGATTTCCATCCATGAAAAAAAAAAATTAATTGTGTAATTTCTCCTTAATTCTACCAATATATAATGACACCAGAAGTTGCAGATATTATTAAAATAAAACATAATTTTCCAAATGCCAGGAGACAACAATTATACTTTTAAATGGCAAAACAACTACTTAATGAGACCATAATCATATTTAATTAAATTCCTTTATCTCAATTAAGAGGAAGAAAATATCAAAGTTGGTGTTTCAGCCTCTTAGGAGGTGTGACTGCAACACTGCCTATTGCTACCTGAATTTGAACTGTTGTCAAAGACATGATAAGCTCCAAAAAATGGCCTATGGTCAATAAAAGAAAATTTGGGTAATTCACTCGCCTGAGTCAAGGGCTAACCTGACACTATGGCCCATTGGTCATTTGGCTTTCTCAGTCAACATCTGGGATTTTGTTTGAGGATGGGAGATGGGCTGAGACTCAGTGTCCTAGGAAATGTAGAATCTTATGTCTATAGGACCAAATTTATAACAGTTAATGAGATTTCAAGGCTTTGTTTTATTTTGATCTTTTCCATGTTCATTTCTCTTTCAGAAGTTGCCACTGTATCTTCAACAATGGTGAGAACATTGAGTAACACTTTAATTCCTATTGAGTGTCATTTAGTCAACTAATACTTATGAATCATGTATGGAAGATTAATTCAGTGTGTATGGAGTGATAATAAGGGAGTCTGATACATGAAGAAATGGCCTCTGCTCTCCAGAAGCAGTTAAAAAAATATGATCTACATATAAATATCCTTATCCTAAATAATTATGCCCAGGTTAAAGGAAAAAGAGATGACTTCAAGCTGAGAAGTTGGTGAAGTCTTCATGGAAATTATAACATATGAGAGCAGAGAACAGTTATCCTGGTCAATTGCACAGATTCTGGATTCAAATCTTAACTGTACCACTTACCAGCATTTGCCTAATCCAAGTAATAGGTCTTTTTAAGACTAAATTTCCCCATTTATGAATAAGGATGATAGTAGAGTCTATTCTATCCAGTTGTGATGGTAAAAAGAAATCCATGACACAGAAAACCCTGGCACAAAGTGCTCAGCAATTGTTAACTGAGTGTAGTAGCAGTAATAGAGGTGGTGGTAGTAGTGCTAGCGTCTGTCATAGTGGTAATGTTATGCGGTGCTGTAATATATATATATATATATATACATATATATATATATATTGTTGTTGTTGTTGTGTGCTGTCGAGTCGGCCCCGACTCATAGCGACCCCTCCTTGGGTTTCCGAGGCAGTATCACTACGGAAGTAGGATTGC